CCCCACACCGCCATAAGAGCAGGATCAATTGCCATTTTAAGGATGTTTTCTCTGAGTAAAGGGAGCTGTGGGTGTCCTTGAGGCTCAGCCWGGTGACCAATGCAAACCCCCACTTTTCTGTCATTCCCTAAATTTTTTCTGCCACTCSTTCATCTGTAAATCAGAGATAATCATCTCATGTACGACCTGAATCGATACCTTCCAAAAGTGACACCTGAAGAAGGAGCATGTCCTTGTTCTGTCCCATTGACAGCATTGATTCCAGGGGTTGTCTTTGTGCCTGATGTGCATCCCCATGGAATTGGGGGAGGTAAAAGGATTGGMGAGAGGTAAAAGGATTTTCCCAGCCCTGGTCGTGCATCAGGATCGGCAAAGAATCCTGGCTGGAGCCCATTAATTCCCCACTCACTGGTGAAAGGGGTGAGGAATGGGCTSCAGGGCTGCCAGGGGCACCACGCCTCGCTGCCCCGTCTGCAGGGACGTCCCTTCCCATCTGCAGTCCTGCCCAACGCTCTTCACATGGATCAGCTCATTCCTGCAGAGCTGCAGGCCTTCCTCTCCCTCCTGCTCCGACTTCCAGACCCCGGGCACYGCCCTGCAGAAAAAATTCCCTGCAGAGAGGAGTCAGAGATGGGATCAGCACAGGGCTCCAGCACCGTCCTGCTGCAGGATTTTCAGGAGTTCCCTGCGAGTGCAATCCCTTCCCACCTTCCTGGAGGAGCAGGTCTGTGTAGATGGTGGCCAGGTGCTCCTGATCCAGGCTGACCCTGAGCTCCGTGTCCTCCACCAGGGCACAGTCCAGCCAGAACTCCTGGCCAAAGAGCAGCTGCTCCAGGCAGCTCCCCACGTACCCTGGAAGTCAAGAGGAGAATCAAGGTCAGTGCCACTTTCCCTGGGCAGCAGGAAGGGTCTGTGGGGATTTCCAAATGGGAGGCAAAAGCYTCTAATTTTGTCTCCAGAATTTCCCAAAAAGAACCATCCTGGGTCTCTCACTGATTTTATAAACATCAATAATGGACTGCAAAATTTTCCAGTTCATATCCTCACTGCCCACCCTGAACAGGACACTCCTTTAGAGTCAGACAGTTCTTTCTCCAAAAATCCTGCTCACACTGTCTGTTAAACCTTGGACACGTTACCTAAAGTCAGATACGTGGAGAACTTCCAGACTTCCTCCAGGGTTTTGAAGGTGAGGAGGAAGCGATCCTCGTGTGCCTGCACACAGACCAGCCTGGCTGACAGCTCCTGCACGGGAGGAAAGGAGCATCAGGGGACAGAGCTGGAGCCCTGAAATCCAGCAGGGAWGGGGAGTTCAGCCCAGGCATCGTCTCTGTAGCTGGGATTTGTTTCTATAAAACCCAGCCTGAGAGCTCTGTGCCTGTCCAGAGCTGTCACCTCCTCCAGGGACRTGGATTTGGTGATCCCAGCCCTGTGAATTCCTGGTTATTTAGGCTCAGATCCCCCAAAATGACACGGGGTTCAGCTTTCCCTCTCATTTTCCACCAGTTCATCTCCCCCATCATCCCAGTCCCCTCCTGCAGTGGCCTTGCAGGAACTTCCCAGCTGGGTTTGGTGTCCCAGCACACATCCCACCATTCCAGGAGTGTTCCAGCAGGCTGGGATGGGGTTTCTACCTTGAACAGGGCACAGACACCTCTGTCATCGCTCTCCAGGGCCCACAGCTTCCTCCTGGCAGCTTCCTGCAGCTGGGAATTGCAGCCCCGGCAGGAGCGGCTCTCCAC